ACACTGCAGAAATAATCCAGTTTGAGACCGCTTTAACTGTCCTGTCTCGGTGCTAGGGAATTCAGAGAACTGTAGATTAGTGACGGCTCAATGTCTCACAAGACTACAATTCCCAGTATCCCCTAGCACTGAGCCAGGGCAATTAAGGCAGTCTCGAACTGGATGATTTCTGCATTGTGTTTTGGAACCCCTGTGGATGAGGCATCTCCAAGATCCAAAACACACTGCAGAAATCACCCAGTTTGAGACCGCTTTAACTGCCCTGGCACAGTGCCATGGAATTCTGGGAATTGTAGTTTATTGTGGCACCAGAGCTCCCTCACAGAAATGGCTAAATGTCTCATATATCTACAGTTCCCCAAATTCCCTAGCCTTGAGTCAGGGTCTCAAAATGGATTGTTTCTGGTGTGTGTTTTGGACCCAAGACTCCCTTTCACTTCCACTGCTTTGCTTAGGTCCTGTAAATTCATGCCCCTGAGTCCTAATAGAGTCCATTCATTAGAGCAGGGGTAGGCAACCTAAGGCCCCGGGGCCGGATGCGGCCCCCCCCCCCCGAGGCCTTTGGACCAGCCCTAGGCTGGTCCTGCCCCCGCCGCCGCCGCCCACCATGATGATATTGATTATTGTTGTTATTACTTGTTCTTGGGGTTTTCTTGGCAAAATCTCCACAGGGGTTTTGCCATGACTTTTCTGGGGCTGAGAGAGTGTGTATGCATATATATTTTTATTTTTTTTTATTTTTTATTTTTATTTATTTATTTTTGGTGCTTTGGCCCCCCAATTGTCTGAGGGACAGCAACCCGGCCCCTGGCTCAAAAAGGTTGCCTATCCCTGCATTAGAGGGATGGACTCCATTAAGGAGGTCATGGGTATGAATCTGCAAGAACTCAGAAAGAAGTGGAAGATAGGGAGTCTTGGAGATGTCGCATCCACAGGGTCACCATGAGTCAAGGATAGTTAACAAGAAGAAGAAGAAGAAGCTTTGCCCACCAGCCCAATATTTTTGGGGCCTCCAAATGCATCTGCAGAATTAGGCTCAAGTCTATGAAAGCTCCTGCTACCAACTTCTTTCCTTCAGTGAGTCTCAAAGGTGGTACAAGATCTCTTGGCCTCCCTTCTTCTGTTATTGGTTTCCTCCCCTCTCTTCCTTGGTGGAAGTTCCAAGGAGGAGAAGTTGAAGTCTGGAACAGGTTGAGGCATGTCTATTTTTCTCACCTAGGAGGAGGGGAAAGGAAGTCCAGGTTGGAGTGTTTGTCGCTCCTTAGAGAGGG